TCAATTAAGCTTCTCTTTAACCCAAATAATGTTTATCATGCCTTGACAATCATCCAAGCTTTGATTTACTTGTGCATGTTGATATAAACCCAGATCTGCTCAATAAGGCCATTTAAAAGCTTCTCGCATCTTCTTAGCTCTAGCTCTCGTGACTGGACCTCTTGGAATATGTAATGGCTCTCTTGACGTGGTACATGTGGGGTCATCTTGATTCCCATCAAATGTGCTCCTCCATTTCGTCGTGAACAAGCAGATTCACGTTCTTCTTTAGCTCCGCCGCTCCCTTCCTCATGTTCTCAATGTATTTGTCTTGAGCTTCAAGCTTCTCCTCACAGATCTTCCTCCTACGTTCTTCGAGAACGAGTTTCATGCTCAAGACATCATTATCGTTCTGGAGTTTGGTAACGGAAGGAAGAACTTCATCCAACTTCCTCTGCATCTCCCTCTTCTCCTTCTGCAACTCCTCCCTCTCCTTCTGCAGCTGCTCACACTGCCTCTGCAAGCTGGCACGATCTCTCACGCTCTCTGCGTACTCCTGCGCTAAAGCGTTTGCCCAGGTTGCACTCTACAATGCAAGCAGAAGTCAGACCTCAAACGCAAAAGTCAAAAAATCAAAAATAAAACATGAATAAATTACAACTCCTTTACATACCTCCAGGACATGCCTCACAACAGTAGCCCTTAGCTGGCTCACCACCTCGTCCCTTGCCCGCCTCCTATCCACCTCAGGAAGAGTGGCGTTGAGAAAGCGCTTTGCCCCAGTAATGTTTGTTGCTTCGAACAAACTCTTCTGGAATGAAGGTAGAGGGAATGGCCCCTTGCCTTTGCCAGGGCCTCGTACCTCGGCCTCCTCCCTCTCTCGGACTTTAGGATCAATTTCTGGAGGATAAGGCCGGGGCACGAACTCAACCACTTCATCCCCCTTGGCTTCTGGCTCTGCCACCTTTCTCTTCTTCCTCTAGAGCAGTGCCACCTCCTCGCTCGCATCCTCACTTCCCCCCATCACAGGCTCTGGCCTTGGCTGCACCTCTAAAGCCCGGGCAGAAGTGTTGGACAGGCGCTCCCTCTCTACCCCCCCTTTTCCACCGCGGTTGAAGTCTTTGACTTCTTCCTTGGCTTTTTTGGGAAGCGCAGCCCCCCCGCAGCATTTATGAACCCGTCCATCTCAGCTGCAAAACAAACATAAATGTCAAAACACACCAATTAAAATCTCACCAAAATTGCACAATATAAACATACACAAACCTTCGCTCAATGAGCTTGGTCCATAGAGCTCAGTAGCCTTTATCGCCTCTGCGCTGGTGAGGTATATAATATCCACTAACTCCCCTTCTTCCCTCACCAGTTTCCCCACCTCTTCCACTTCATCCTCATTCAGCTTATAATTGTTCTGCTTGGCCTTCTTAGTTTTCCAAGCAGACAATTGTTCTACTTCGGCATCCCCCCTACTCCACTCGGTGTCATCCACAAAGAAGAATTTTTCTTTCCATCCTTTGATGGATGACGATCTAGTAGTGAATAAACTCCTATTCTCTTTGCTAGACAATCGAAGGCCGAAGTAGTACCATCCCTTCTCCCCCTTACCCCCAGCCTTTATTATGAAAAAATGTTTAAACATATTTACCATAGGGACCCCAACCCCCCAAGCTCGGCAGTATACAAGAAAGCCTATTATTACCCTTATAGCATTTGGGGTAATTGGGTTATTCCTATACTGTAATCTAACAATAACCCAACCAGTAATTCTGGAATGGGAAACCTAAGCCCTGCCACCAAATAATGCACGTACATGGGCATCCAATGGTCTTGGGGTGCTGAGCATGCTCTCTCATTCACCCCGACAGGCCTAATTAGGACATGGTGGGGAAGGTTACAGTTACCCACGAGGCCCCTAAGACTACCCCTAATACCCAGTTCACTAACATATCCCCTCACCTCAGACACTATATCTAACTCTGGGTCATAACACCCATCTATATTACTCCCAGCCTCCAAAATGTTTGAGGGAATCTCATCTTCCTCCTCTTCTACTACCCTTTGATCCCTCTTTTCCTCCACTGTCCTCTCTAAACTAGATGGAGACGGACTGCTCTCCAAATCCATGCTACCGTAATCCAAGGGCATCACCTCACTCCCCACTACACTCATGGTCCCTTCTGAAGACATCTCCTCAATTTCTGCATAAAAATGGAGGAGGAACGAAGTCAGGACCCTTAAAAATTCTAACACACTCAATACATTCTCACTCCCAACCCTAATTTTCTTCAAAAACCCAAAATCAAACACAGAAAGGGAGAAAGGAGAATAGCACTTCGACAAAATCAAAATAAAAAATTCATAAACTTTACCTGATTTTGGTCTTGGGAAACTGTTGTCGAAGTCTTAAACAAAGCGCAGACCGCACGAAACCGTAGAGATTTAGTAAGAATTTAGAAGCAAAATCGCGAAAGTAAAAAACCCCTTTTTACAGAAGTCTAGCCTTTTATACCAAAGGCAAAATATGCCTCAACAACTGTGATTAACTCCATTTAACGGCTGTAGAGACACCGTTTCAAATTTGACGGTTAACCCCAAACGGCACCGTTTTGAACTCGACGGTTCGTTTTTTACATCTACCAGTTGGACTGTTACAATTATCTTTTTACAACGGCATTTATTACGCACATCATTCAGAGGACAACTGTCGCATCACGTACCGCCTCTTTGTCAGTCTTCTCAGACGGGCCCACTTAAGCCCATCTCAACACTCTTGCTCACTTTTACCCACTTAAGTGTTTTACTTCGGCAACCGACCTAATGTCTTCGGTCACACGTTTTACTTCGGCTCCGGCCACAGTGACCCAGTGTCACACGTTTTACTTCGGCTCCGGCCACAGTGACCCAGTGTCACACGTTTTACTTCGACTCCGGCCACAGTGACCCAGTGTCACACGTTTCACTTCGGCTCCGGCCACAGTGACCTAGTGTCACACGTTTCACTTCGGCTCCGGCCACAGTGACCTAGTGTCACACGTTTTACTTCGGCTCCGGCCACAATGACCCAATGTCACACGTTTCACTTCGGCTATCACCACAGTGACCCCGTGTCACATATTTTACTTTGGCTCCGACCACTATGACTCTGGTCATTATTTTTTATTACGGCTCCGGCCACTATTCCTTATTATGGCCCCGACCACTACAACCCCGATCATTAATTTTTATTACTTGTTATTACTTTCTTACATTGACTCCGGTCATTCTTTTACCACGACTACAGCCACGATCAATCCGGTTACATTTTATTTTTGGGCATGGCCAATATGACTCCCTATCACATATTTCACTATTAGCTACGGCTATACATACATTTGCGTTACATATTTTCATTTTTATTTCCATTTTTACTTCTGTAACTCATCTTTAATACTTGTAT